CTGTGCCCAAAGGACATGGTGACAAGAAGTGTCCTTTGTCCATCTTGTGAATACTCTCTAAGGGTCCCTGATGCAGAAAATGAACAATCTGTCCCCCCCTCAGCTGTCCATTTTGATCATCAAATCCCATTACCCAGTCCCCTTCCTCAAACTTTGGTCCTTCCCTCAAGGATCGTTTCCAGACTATCAAAATTGAGATGATAATTTCCTCCAAATTAAGTGACAGCCGGTGAGCGTAGCATAAAGTTAATCTCAACTTCTCAACCGTTTTCCAATTCTTGGTTTCCGAATCCCAAAGATCCTTGATTCTTAATACCCTTTTTTTCACCCACAAGGACCATGGTGACTTTGAGCTATTGAAAACACACCCATTGAGATCCGTGATCCATCGATTACCAAATAGAGGTTGGCGCATGACTTCCTCATATCTCGAGGGAAAAGGTCTGTTCGGTAAGGGAAGCTTACGTCATATTTTTATAAGTATTGTCACCAAAGGTTATCTAACATCAGGTCCAATCTCGCCGCCCCTCTTATACCTTGTTCACTAGACTGTGTCTTGGCTCTAGGTACGGTCCAATATCTATCCTCTAACCAAGTTAGAGGATGTATTTCCTCTGATGCTACAGGGGCCAGCCTCCTAATCTGCTCCAAGACCAAGGGCAGCCACTGCTTATCTGTGGATAAGATTAATTTTTTTAACCATTGCAAACCAATGGCTCGTAATTGAAAATAGGGGTATAATAGCCCTAAACCTCCTCTAGTTTTGGGTTGAATTAGTGACAACCAGGCTACTCTTGGGATGACTTTCTTTTGCTCATGATTGCCTCTCCAAAGGAATGCTGAAATTTGTCTTTTAAGAGTTTTCATTTGTATTTTACCAACGGACCAGAGCCCTGATTTGTACCATATTGAAGCTAGTACAACATTATTGATTATGAGGGTTCTTCCGATAATTGAAGTGTGTTGGTTCTTCCATTGATTCATTTTTTCAAGCGCCGGCCTAGATATTCATTCGTCATTATTTGCAGGTTTGCCTTTTGCTGTGAATGTCACACCAAGTACCCTGATTGGAGCCTCCAAAGGGACCCAATGTACTCTAGGCTGCTCCGAAGGGCGAACCCCATTTGAGTGTATCCACCACCCTTGTGTTTTGTTCCCCCAATTGACAATCATATCTGATACTATAGAGAATTTATCCATTAATATTATAATTTCTTCCATATCTGTCTCTGGAGCTTCCATTATAATAGTGAGGTCGTCTGCGAACATGGAATAAATAAGTATTGCTTTCTCTGACATCCCTGATATTCCCAATCTCTTGAGGTTGTGATTTGCTCGAAGATTGGCCCCTAAGGCCTCCATAATAATGAGGAAAAGAAAGAGAGTCAACGGATCACCTTGCCTAACCGATCTTTGAAGTCTGATCTCTGGTGAAAGGAGACCATTAACTTGTATCCTGGTAGTAGCATTGGAATGAAGAATTTGAACCCATTTTCATATTGACGGGCCAAATTTCATTTTACAAAGGCATTTGTCCAAAAATCTCCAATCTACATGATCATAAACTTTCTCAAAATTTATAAATACAAATGCAGCATTTTGTTGAGATTGTCGTGAAAGTTTAATCATCTCATTGATTAGAAGTATGTTATCTTGAATATGCCTGCTATTAATAAAACCAGTCTGTGTTGGATGTATGATGTCAGTCATGATTGGAATCAGCCAGTTTTCGAGAGTTTTGACTAACAACTTATATAATACTGTGCCCTCAATGCCACGGCCACAGGTAAGTACCGGCCCTATGGGCCTGCCAAACAAGCCAGTACCCTTGCGGGTCCCACACACACTCACACCAACAAGCACTCAGACAGGCATGCAGGTCACAAGCACGCACACAGAGACAGACTTAGAAAACACAGCAGAACGCGGGAATCTCAGCAAGGCATCCATTCCATCGACAGAACTTCAGAAATCAGCAGTGTTCTCAGTCTGTGTTTTGACGGGTCATTACACTACCCCCCCCTCAAGAGCGAGGTCCCTTCGAGCGAGTAACTCAATCAGAGTCCTTGCATAGTGCATCATAGGCGTAGATAGCAAAGAGAGATCGGGCGTGTTCCGTAGGAGTCAGGGTAGCAGTGAATTTTGGTTGTTGTTCAGCACTTATCAACCGTTCATAGGCATTCACGACACGCGGTGCACTCTGCAGTAAGTCTTTCCTAGCAATCCAATAGAAATCGTCCAACAGATGATACAGAAAATGAACTTTGTACTGTCTATTTTTTCCCTTCCCACTGTGTTCGACAATCCTATCAACCTCATGTCCGCCATTGATTGCGCGGGGAATCATTGACTCTCGGTATTTGAAAGTCTCAGGTGATTCATACGGAAACAACTTTGACGCATGAAAGACAGGGTATGTGCGCAAATGTGCAGGCACATCAATCGTGTAAGAAGGACCGAAGGAATCACTCCCTACCTGGTTCAAGACCTGCCACGGACCGTAGTACTGAGGAAGAAGTTTTCGTGATACACCTTCTTCTTCAGAAAACTCAGACATTTTGACCCAAACATAACTTCCCACTGTAAATGGTGCAGGCTGGCAATTTTTGTTAGCATGTTTAATCATGGCACTGCGTCACCTCTCCATAGCTGCGACAACAACTTTGAGTAGGCGATCAAACTTGGCACTGTAGCCTGGCTGGCCAGGTGTTAGGCCAAGTGGCTGATCAGGGAACAAATAAGATAGAGGATTGCGGATTTTCCATCCAAGATGCAGCCGGTTAGGCGTCATCCCGGTGGAGGAGTGGATGAAGTTGTTATACAACCCCTGCACAATCGGCAACTCCTCATCCCGAGAGTTCTGATCAGGTACAATTAGAGCCCTGAGAAGTTGGATCACGGCCTGGTTGATTTCCTCAGCCAGTCCATTGGCTTCGGGATGTCGCCCAGACGTCATCTTGAGTTTCGTGTCGTAGGTATGGGAGGTGAAATCTTTCCAGTCCGCGCTTATGAACCTGGTGTCTCGATCACTCACAAGAGTTTTCGGGGGGGCAAATGTAGAATGTACCTTTTGTTGAATTCATCGATCACAAGGTCAGTTGGGTTATGTATCCCCCCCGGCGGCGGACAGGCGCGGCCAAGTCCGCGGCCGCGGCCAGTCCGCGAAGCCCGCGGACGTGTCCGCGCGGACGCGCGGATTCGCGGACACGTGGCGGCCGCAGGGGAGGGGGGTTCACAAATCTGGCGGCGCCGGGTACGGGCGAAATCCAACGAAATTGAAAAAAAAAAAAGAACGCATTTTTTTTTTTTTTTTTT